ATAAACTATGACCTTTATAAATGTGTGAATCATATGGTGAAAAACTGACTTTGAAAAATAAATCTGTTCTTTTTTTCTTACAAAAGGCTAAATAAAACAAACTATTGGTGGTAATTTTTTTACTGTGTAACTTTACAAACGGCACCCCATACTTAAATATGTCCTGCAGGGGCAAAGTTTGACTTTTTTGCAAGGGTTGACAAAGGAGTGGCCAAGGTGTTTTTTTAAGGCGGGCACATACAAATGAAAAAAAAGTGCTCTGAAACTGAAAAATCAAGATGGCCACCACAGGTAATTCTAAACGGCTTTAATTTGGGGTGATCGTATCAAAGAATGATAAAAAGAAGCATGCTGAATTCTAGTCGCAACTTATTATTCAGCCACTTTTAGAAATACTAAACTGAATATTAGTGTAGAAGTAGCCAAAAATAATCTTTAAATCAAAAATTTAAGATGGCCACCACGGCTAACTTTAAATGCCAACAATTCAACCATTTTAAGACTTTCATGAAATGATMATGCCAATCACCGATGCTAATCCCAAATTAAGCTAACCACTAATGCTAATGCTAGATCTATGAAAGGCAATGACTCATCAATTTTTTTAAACATGCAAAGCTGAAAAACCTTTATTGTGTAGTAGTATTAGAGAACAATCTTTAACAAAATGGTTCATGAAATACTTTATTTACAAACCAAGTTTGTAAAGATTATTTATGATGWTTTATGCATCAAGATTATTTCTGCTCAGTCTTCAAGCACCCAGAATTGGGTGACAGGGATCAGTCTCAGCTTCTACAACATCAAGTCAGTATAAAATGACATGTTATAGTCTTTTTAGTGTTTGCTAGTGTCAATTAGCTGTGGCAACCATCTTGATTGGGGTTGACTCTAAATGGTTATCAGCTGTAGATTTACAATCAAAGATTCCTTTCTGCAAATTTTAATAAATTAACCCAGTGGCTCATGAGCTACATTGATGACAGACACACAAACTTTTTGGCGCGCACACCAACCCCGCACAAGCAAAATTATTATYCTCCACCTTTGCGTTCTGGCAACAAGCATTAAAAAGCAAATATGAATGGGAGTCTGCGCCGACTGCTTTTGGGCCATTAAAATAACTGTAACATGCAAGTAAAAGCAGACTAATGAGGGCAAACACTTACATCAGTTTAGAAGCTACATAAAACGGACTGACGCTGGTATTGATAAAAAAAAAACTCCCACACGGTCACCAGTAATTAGTGAACGCCAGCAGTTATTTTGAAAACACATTCTCACAAAAGTCAGACTGGAATGGAGAAAACTACATGTTGCAAGTGGAACCTGTGTTTGATGAATACAGTGAAATTCCTGGAGTCATGAGCCAGAATAGAGTTGTAACAGCCTCAGTTGCCTTTCACTGCCAGTGAATTGTTGGCTTAGCTCAGACGATTTCTGGAGTCATTCAAGGTGCTCATTTACATTACAATTTATTTATTTTATGTTTTATTTTTTGCATCAAATTAAGTTATATAGTTAATATGATTTGACCGAATGAGGGCCTGGGTGTAGCCAGTCTTTCACAAATGTCCACTTGGAAAAAGCTTCAGCCCTCAAGTCCATTTCGACTCCACCGACATCACTCTGAACAGAACAGCAGCTACAGACAATGGGTTGATAGATAAAGATTGTATCTCAGGCAACTGTGGCTCAAAAGATAAACTATGTGCCAATCAAACAAAAGTCAGTTGTCCATATTTGACCTCCTAGCCTCTGAGCTGGCACATGCAGTTGATTCAGACCAAGAAAGCTGTATCTCCCAAAGATTTTGTTTTTATTATTTTTTTTAAGGTTGCAAATTTAATACAGAAGCAGATGGATTATGTGGTCACCCATGGAGTCCAGTCATGTTTTTTATTCTAATGAGCTCATTATTGTGTTTTCACAAGGGTAAAATTATTTTTGCGACAAATTTAGATGGTAGTTTTTAAAAGCTGAAGAACAGCCGAGTCAGTATTGTTAGATTGTGCACTTATAAACATTTACAAACAATACTCAGCTGTTCTCCACTCCAGCTTTTTGACAACAAATGTAGCTTAAGACACTTTTAGGAAATGCGCATCAGTCACTCATTAAAATAACACGTATACAATCATTTCGAAATACTTTTAAAGTTTAGAGCTCAACTGGTGTGCGTCACTTGGTGGCTGATGTGAAAGCTATG